TTGTTTTAGTATCCAATCGATGACCAGATTGAACAATACAGGCGCTATTGAGCAACCTTGTCGCACGCCTGTTGATACAAGGAAGTTTGGTGTTTATCTCAGGATCTCAGAAAACTGGAGTTGTGCTGAAAAGGGACTATGAATTTAGGTATATTATGCCTATTACTTTCTGATGGTCAATTAAATTCATAACTATATTTTAAAAGCAGTCATGATTTGGTTTTGTTTGTTCTTGATAACCCCTGATGACTCCAGTCACTTGAAAAGCAATCAGAATGGATGAAATCCTTTTATCTCAAGTGGCTGATGAGTCTAATCTGCAAGGCTAAGATTGTCTTTGACTGATGGAATGGCCTAGCCCAGCCCAGCCTGCACCTCAAGAATGAAGTCTTTAAAAGGCACAAGAAGCCCATGGACTTTTACAGATCCATGATTGACTGCATTCAGCCAGGGTAAATAAACTTGGCTTTTGAGGTGAAGGGCCAAGATATATATTTTTAATTACTGGACTGTGTGCACATTATAAAACCATTACAGAACAAAAGCATATAGCATTCCAAATTAGAAAAAGGCAGTTGATACAAAGCTGTAATAAAATAAATAATACATTAACTAGCTTCATTGTTCTATGTTCATAGACACTAATAGAACCATATACATCAGAGGCCATAAAATGCATGCATTAGCAAAGAGAGTGTGCTGGTTAAAGAGGCCTTGCCTTGTTTTTTCCTGGATCATGACGGTCAATTAGCATGAAGGCATGAGGCTATATTTGCTATTTAAATTCTTGTTGACCGTGGAAGAGAAATACAAACCTCAGAGATCAGGATGCGGGTGGGGGGGAGGAGGGAATCCTGAACATTTCTCATGAAGATGTTTAATGTGCAGCCACCAGCACAACTGTCATTGAATAAAGAAAAAGAACTGTAAGTGATTTTTTAGGTTAGAGACTGAACATGATACCTCATCATCCATACCATCTACTCAGTGTGATTCAGTAGAGCTTGTTTGAATGGTTAGAAGTACAATAATACAATACAATACAATAGCAGAGTTGGAAGGGACCTTGGAGATCTTCTAGTCCAACCCCCTGCCTAGGCAGGAAACCCTATACCATTTCAG